CATGATAAAGTGACTACTCATCTTAAGTTACGCCTATCTAAGCAATCATAATGAAACTAATTCCACGAAGAATTAGTTTCTATAGAACAAAATAACAAGACGGTCACGCTCTGCCTAGCACCTTTCTCTTTGCGTACTGTTTTTTAGTTTTAGCGAAAGCCAATAAGCGGAAATCAATAAAGGTCATGTTAATCATTACAAAGGAAAAATGAAAGAAGGCTATGGCTGTAATCCAGAAAATGATCTAAGATTTGGAAAAACAAAAGTATCCTAACATATAAATAAAGTTCTTCCGAGGCTGTCAGGAGGAGATGCTTGCAACCTGATCCTGTGTCTGTGTCTCCTCGTTCGCCGACGCCGTCCTTTCCTACGAGAGACCCACCCCGGCTGGAGCTGGACTCTGGCAGTACTACACTCATGCCAGAAGTCCACCAGTCATGTAGCCCTCTTCTCTCTACCTTAGTTCCCTACTAGAAGAGTCCTCCAGAATCATCATGAGCCCCTCCTATGCTCACCCTGTTAAGTCATCCATTTGCTGCTTGTCTTGGAGACTGTTAGAACATACCCACTTGTCTCCTAGCTGCCAATCCCTCAGTCTTCAAAATATCTCTACACTGAGTAGCATATTCAAAATCCTCCCAAGTCTGGCTGTGTTCAGACACTCCATTAAAAACATTGTAAACAGCACTGTACTGGGCTACTTAATAAAGCGAGTGACCACAGACATTTTTTATGTGCCTATGAGAGGATCATTTTTTTTCCCCCAAATACCCACACCCAGGATTTTCCAACCCTGTGCTTTCCTTCGCATAATTTCTTCTCTCTGAAATCCTCCATGCCTCCTCTCTGCTTGCCAAAGTCTTTTTATCTTCTAGGGTCTGCTGCAAGTCTGGATCCTCTATGATGTTTCTTTCCCCAGTCCAGAAATACTTCACTAATACTATATTTAAACCTCCATTCTCAGACCCATATCCTGGTCTACTTTATGTTATAGATTATTGTCTTGAAAATATTCTTAATTCTGTGGGGATTGATTCCATGTCATATCTATTATACGATCCAGAAATTCTTTCATTAAGCAAATATTTACTAAGCAATTATGTGCCAGGAACCCTTCAAAGTACTAGGGATGCATCAGTGAGCAAACAGTCAAAGATCTCTACTCTCCTGAAGCGGAGTTTCTAATCCAACAGAATACCAGTAGAGTGAATTTGTTTTAAAAGGTGTTCAGCAAAGGTTTGTATTCATGGAGGAAACAAAGAAGAAAAGAAGAGAGGAGGGGAGGGAAGAAGAGAGGGGCAAAGGAAGGCCTGCCCCAGAACAGTCTTCTTTCCCTGAGGTCCCCCTGGCTAAGATTGGGTGTAGCCCCTCATGAAATTATGCTGAGCTGGAATCCTTGACCTCATTGTGGTCCACACCCACATCCTTAGATGTTGCTGGCTCTGTAAGAATCAACCCAGGGGTAGGGGCAATAAGACGTTCTCCTTTGTGTTGAAAGGGCTCTGGCTAACACAACCAGACACACTTACTTTGAGGAGAAAACCTTAACTTTGGTGGGCTTAAAGAATGTGACCTACTTTATTTCCTTGGCTTCCCAAATGGCCTGGACTCCCTGCTTCTCCTCCTGGTCCTGGAGGCCCCTGAAACAAAACAAGGATTGCAAATATAGCAGAACATAAAGCAACTTTCCCCTAAAGCCTTTGTGTCTCTTCTAAGAGGAAAATGAACCACAGATGGGAAAAGAGTTATGGCTTTATTGATTTCTGCTCTGGAAAAAAGTATCACAGCTGTCAAATAAAAACTAGTAAATGAAAGAAAATTAATAAAGTAATTCATGCCAGATGTGGCCTAAATGATCATGCTTTCTTGTGAATCTTCTTTTCCAAAGAGATTTTACATTCTCACTGTTTTGCTTTTACAGGAGATGTTGCTAAAATGTCTGTCTAACATTTAAAGAAGGCATTCCAAGTGACATTTGCCTTTAACTGTATTCTGTCTGGTTCCTTGCTTTCGTAGAAAGCATTTTTTAAGGTAAACTTATATTTATTTGCAAATAATACAATTTGTTCAATAGAAAGCTCAAGAAACATCACCAAAATAATTAGCATTAATAACAAGATATGTTCAGGTGTACCAGATAAATATTCTGAAATAGTTTTCTCTTTCCTACTGATAAGTTAGAAAAGTAAATGTACATAAATTCCCATTTACCATTAGAAGAAAAACACCTGTGAATATGTAGAATTTAATAAGAAAGATACAAGACCTATATAAAGAAAGCTTTAAGATCTTACTGAAGAATATAACAAAAGTTAAACAGAGGAATAAACATACCACACATCTATATGGAAAATCTATTTGATATATTAGAAGTCTCTTTAATGTTCTAGAAAGCATGTCTTATTGGGATAGCTTTAGAGCTGAACATTTAAAAATCCCAATTCAGAGACAGCCCAACCGCTTCCCTATGTTATCAACACTCGGGATCAGATTTTTCCTTCTGTTGCCATATCCAAACATATGCCATCCAAACATATGGCAACAGAAATCTCCTTTGGTTAAAATATTTACATAGGTACTTGTAAATAATCCCAGCACTACTGAATTTAAATCATTTTCAGATTTTTTTTTGGCCATGATTACTGTAATTAAAAAATAAATAAATAAACCAAATCTGTGTAGTAAGCATGATACTTAGCAAATTTTATTCAGAAAAAAATTATGACATTAGCCTTTTTATCTTTAAAAAATTAAAAATGTAGTAAGTTGGACATAAAAATTTCCTAATAGGAAAGACTGTTGAACAGTATATTGGTCACTTAGGGAAGATAATAATGATCTTTCTACAACCTTCCACTTTTTTTCCTCTCCCTTCTTTATCTCAAAAGAAGAATCTCAATTTCTTCACCTTCCATAGCTCTCAACCCTTTCCCTTCAAACTCTCACTTCCACCAGTGCATGGGGCTAGCTCCCATGACCTTCAAATTCAATCCAATTAGACTCTTTTCTGTTCTCACCTTATTTGAGTTTGATCATGTATTCTTTGAAACTTTTCCATTAATTTCTCTAACACCATGGACTTCCTGGTCCCTCTCTGGTCTCTTCTCCATTTGCCTCTTAAATTTCCATGTACTCTGAGGCTCTATCCTTGGACCTTATTTTTTCACTTAATTCCTTCTTCCTGACACCCCTATAGATTCACATACCACTTTACAAAATAACTCCTAAATAGATGGATCTCCTGCCCAAACCACTCAACTAAATGCCAGACTCATATATTAAAATGTCTATTGGATATCCCATAGGAACTGATTACCAAAGATAATTATATTTACTGTAAGTCATGCTTAGTTTCATATTCTCTTTATTAAGGAGTGGTGTCACCCCTTTCCTCCCTGAAACCTAAGCTGGAAACATAGGAATCATCCTATCCCCTCCCTTAGCTCATTTCTCAAAACCTATCAGTTACAAGTCCTTCAGATTCTATTTCCTTTCTGTACCCATCTCTCTTCCACTATCACCTACCTTCTCTCTTCCATTCATATTGCTATCACCTACCTCCAGGCCTTCCTGCTTTCTGTCTAAATTCCTGGATTCCCTGACTGTAGCCTGGTCTCTCTCAAATCTATTATTCTCTCCTTTTCCCTTTTGATTTAAAATGTCTGGTTGATGCTCCCACTTTTTATGAAATTCTGAATTCTGAGTAGCTTTCAGAATAAAGTTGATGGTCTTTATTTATTAATATATAAAATCCCTCAAAATGTTGGTATTGCAGGTCTCCATAGTCATCTGGGACTACTTCAATCACTGTATGTTTATGCTCAAACCATCTGAAGTCACCAAATACTTCTTGTTGTCTTAGGTCTTCACACTTGTGCAAGTTCTTCCCTTAGTTGGTCCATTTTTCTGTCTGGAGGGAGATACAATCTTCCTCTTGTGAAAATCTTACTTTTAGCATCACTGTTTCAAGAATATCCGAACCCCCTGGCTCTACTGGGTCTCACAACTGTCCCACAGATTCCTCTACTCTGTATGTAATTGTTCATTTCTTTCTTTCTCTCATCTTCTAGAAACTATCCTTGAAGGAAGGGGCATGCCCAATTGGCTTCCTATCTCTGGAATTTAGTAAATATCTAGAACCCATCAATCCACCCATCCATTCATCTAGCTATCCACACACCTATCCAGGAATAGCCCCCAAGAAGGATGAAATGATGTGTTTAATTTGATTTTCCATATATTTTTTCTGTACTTCACAGAAGGATAAAGTAGAAAGATTTCAACTGTCCTTGACAATAAGGGGCAAATTGGAAATCTTGCCTAGGAGCTCACTTTCTGGGCTTCCTTCAGACATAATGAACTCTGAGATGAAGGAGATTTCGGGGAGATTACCTTATGTGTAGTCACTTCAAGCACACACAACACAATGAGAGATTATCCTATTTGAAAGCCCTCCAAAATGGAAGATTTCTTGGATGGATGGATGCATACATGCAGACAGGGCATGGTCATCAGAACATCAGAAAACCTGATTCTATTTCCTGTGTAGGACCACACAAAATACCAGACTGGTGTTTGTGACTCCTTGAATGGGCCTCAAGCTTCAGTGAATTGTTACCCGGATATATTAACTACTCCAATACCACTGGTTGTACAGGGGACCATATATTTAAAGGAAAGATGAAAAACTCCCTGCCACCCCAAGATATCAAAGAGTCAAAAAATTGCTTTGATTTGAGGGCAAGAGCATCTATGGAATATAAACAGAAGATTACGGCATTTAAAGGAAAAGGGCACCAGCTAGAGGTGAAATCTTTATTGGCTTTGTTGTAATGGCAGCCTTTTATTGAGCATTTATTTTGTGCAAAGCACTATGCTAAGAAGTATATATTGACACTATACAGACTTTCTCAATCACAATGAGATACATATTATCGACACCGTTGTTTACCAATAAAAATCAGATTGTCAAAGCATTTAACTCCAAATCACCATTAATAGGAGGGTAAGATGGGAACCAAACCTGATTCTGACTCTACACTGAACTCCTGGCCACTCTGCCTGCTGTTTTGAGGCCTGTATCTGGGACAGGATTCCCAAACTCTACTAATCATGCACCACCTGAGACTGGAGTTTTAAAAATGTGAATCTCCAAACTTGATGCAGGAGGCTGGGGCCAGATCTACCCTCCACTCTCGGGATTTGGGCTGGGGGTCTTTTGCTTATGTTTAGACTCTGCCACAGAGTCTTCTGCAATCACAACTGCTTAATACAAGTGTTAAGTGATGATAGAAAGGAGATGTTTAGAGTTTAAATGGTTTTTTTTTTTAATGTTTTTTATTTTTTTAATTTTTTTGGAAGATTTTATTTATTTGAGAGAGAATGAGATAGAAAGAGAGCATGAGAGGGGGGAGGGTCAGAGGGAGAAGCAGACTCCCTGCCGAGCAGGGAGTCCGGTGCGGGACTCGATCCCGGAACTCCAGGATCATGACCTGAGCCGAAGGCAGTCGCTTAACCAACTGAGCCACCCAGGCGTCCCTAGAGTTTAAATGTTTTTAAAAACTGTCCTTAGATAGCATCTTATCAGAAAGGATCACAGTAGGAGTTTGGGATTAATGACTGGAGCAGTGCCAAGGACACTTCGACTTTGGATGGAATATGGCTGGGGAGGTGCAAGAGGTTCAGGTTCTTCTCGTGTTTAAAAGGAATCCTGTCACTTATTTTCATGGGGGTAAAACCCTGCCTACACTGACAATCAGTAAATTGTCAGGCTGGGCTGGAGCCACCCAAGGAGATTAAACGCTCAGCATCTTTAGGAGTCAGATATGAGCTAATTCTGAGAAAATAAAAGTCAAGACGCCAGCAAGGGGTGGGCTAATGCAAGAACAAACCCCAAGATACCTGAGATGTTGATCTTGACAGTGCTAGTCTAAGACACAGCCTCTAACCTCAACTTCTAATCCATCATGCATCCTATACTCCATCCATGTTGAACCACTTATGGTTCCCCAAACTCACTTTGATATCTCTTTTTAGAATACCTGGATCCTTTTCCCAGATGCCTGCCTCTCCGGAGCTTGGTCACCTGGAAAACACCTCCTTATCCTGCAAAAGCTAAAACATTCTTCTCCTGCTCTAATGCCATCCTTGCTCCCACAACTCTACCCTGGGTGTAATTCCGTTTGGGCATTTAGTACATCACATCTCAACTATTTGTTTGCGTTGGTGTCCTTTATGAGATTGGGAGCATGTCCTTTTTTTTCTTTAAGATATGTTATTTATTTGAGAGGGAGAGAGAGAGCGAGTGTGCGTGTAAAAGCAGGGGGAGGGAGAAGCAGACTTCCCACTGTGCAGGGAGCCCAATGACGACGCCAACACTGGGGCTGGATCCCAGGATGCTGGGATCATGACCTGAGCTGAAGGCAGAAGCTTAACAGACTGAGCCACCCAAGTGCCTCGGGAGCAGTCCTTTTATCCTACTATAGGATCCTACTATATATCCTACTATATAGGACCTACACACAGGAAGCACTCAGCAAATATTTGAGTAAAAGGAATGGTTGGTGGATCATCCAACCTAGATTAGGCAGAATGATGAAATCCAATCATTGCAGTTCAGATTACATATTGTTATATTGTTATTATTATCATGGCCTTCCTTGGATTAGAGACTCTCATGCTTTGGGCATAAAATGTCCCTGCTAAACTAAGTAATACTGATGCAATATAGTAGTAATAAACACTTACATAGTGCTTACTATATTGCAGGCACTGTTCTAAGAACCTACCTATATTAAACCATTTAATTTTCACCTGATGAGGTAGCTCCTATTATCATCCTTATTTTACAGCAGAGAAAATTGAGGCACAGAGAGGTTAAATAAATTACCCAAGACCACACAGCTAGGAAGGTACAAACCTTGGAATCAAACCCAGGCAGCCTGGTTTTAGGCACTATGCCCTTGACCACTATATTATGCTTTGTAAAGATGACAACAGAAATTCTACTTTGCGTCCCAAATTTGCATGGAATAATTCCAACATTTCTTGATATTGCATGTGACATTAGTGATTATTTCACTAAAAACAACTAAGAATAATTCCAGCACTAACTTGAATTAGTATGTATGTCTGATTTTCCATTCCTTTTCTAGGCATGATGATATTAGTGCAGTACCCTAGGGTAAACCAAACAAGAAGGGAACAAAAGAAGGTATAAAAGAATATGCCATTCTTTTCAAAGTTATACCTTCTTTTTCACTGTGCCATGGACTATATTTCTTTCATGTCATAGCCATATACTTGGTTGGATTAGCACATTTGGATTTATGCAGAATGCCCCAACACTGCATAAATTAATAGGCCTTCAGAACACTGTCAACAGAAATCACATGCCTTTTTCTAAATGTATAGCCTAAGAAAAAATTGAAGTCCTCAATTAAAAAACAATCCTGTGAGGCGTGCCTGGTGGCTCAGTTGGTTAAGCATCTGACTCTTGATATCAGCTCAGGTCTTCATCTCAGGGTTGTGAGTTCAAGCCCCATGATGGGCTCCATGCTGGGCATGAGCTTACTTAAACAAAATGAAACAAAAACACTCCTGTTATTTCACCTAAGTGGCTGGTTCTTAAGCCTATGTCAGTAGATTTATAGAGCCAATAAAGAATAACGCTCTCTTATATATCTGATTGTGTTGGTCTCCCATGGTTTTCCTTTGGAAACAACAATTTTGAGATCCCATTCATCATGTCCTGAATATAGAAAATTCTACCTATCTTTGAACTAGCACTTTCACTGTGTTGACAAGGGTATTTCAAGAAAAGCAAGCAAAGAAAGAAAACCATGATTTCTAGCCAGATAAATAGAAGAGGGAGAGAGAAGTGGTGCCTTTTGACTAACGCTGGCAATGCCAAGAGGTTGAATGATTTATAACTATAACCAATCTTGCCAAAGCAAGATTAAAGGGGTCTCAGACAAGTACATTATAGGGCAAATGGAATAACTTATTTAACAGCCACTTGGATACAATTTTGGATTCTAGAAGAAGGGAATTACCAAGTTCTTTGGATTTCAACCCATCTACATCTCAATATTTTATATAAACAGATGAGATAATCACCTGATATGTTTCCCTTGGCATTTGCTGGGTTTGTTTGTTTTTTTTTTTTAATCCCAACTAGTGGTGCCAGCAAGTTTTTAATGATTCAAGGATGTGAATACAAAACCGTTACTTTTCATCAATTTAGTTCTACAATGAAATTTTTAAAGTTTTCATGCTGTTTGAAGGAGTACATTCATCAAACTGGGAACAAATATCCTCATGAGCAGTAATTAATATGCTTTAAAATATTGTATCATGAGATACAGGTTTATGCAAATAGCGTCTTAAATATTTTCACGATGAGCACATTCACTTAAGTGTTGGACCACTGCCTAATGGACACAAAGTAATGGATTCACTTTATCCCATAAGTCAAGTGCAAATCCCAATTGTGTCTCATTCATTCATTTACTAATTGATTCATTATATAAATAAATGTTGAGCTCTACTGTGTGGCAGCCCTGTTATTCTAGTCTCTGGGATATAGTATAAGCAAAACAAAGTTCTGACCCTCAGGGAGACAAAAAGCTAAACAAATATAGTAGCAATTAGGCAATGGCCAGATCATGTAGGGACCTGCTACTCAAAGTGTGGTCTGGGAATGAGCAGCATCAGTACTGCCTGGAAGCTCATTGGAAGTGTAGAACCTCAGGCCCCACCCCAGACCTACTGATCAGAATCAGCACTTTAACAAGTTGTCCTGGTGATTCTCAGGGACTTTGACGTTGGAGAAGCGATGTGGGAAAGTCAGTCCCAACACTGGGTGTGTCTATTAGAATTGCCTGGGAGAATTTAAAGTTACTGATACCCTGGCCTCACCTTCAGAGATTCTGATTTAAATGGTCTGGGGAGGATTCCAGGTGGTGGAGTGTTTTATAATCTTCCCAGGAGATTATCATGTGTAACTAGGTTGAGGAGCACTGAAGAAAGTTGTATTCTGGGTGCGATGGGAAGCCCCTGAGGAGATCAGGGGAGTGGCATGACCTGATTTCTACAGAGGAGAAATTCTTAACCTCACAGTGATGGTTGAGGTGTTGAGGCAAAGCGGACTAGAAGCTATCTTCCACCTGTGCGTCTGACAGAAAGACAGCCCACTCTGCAAGGTAGGGACCACAAGGTGATGTGGCCATCACATTGAACACTGAACTCAAAACTTTGCTGGTTCACAGGCAGTAAATACTCCTTCTGCAGAAAAGAAACTGCAAGGACATCCATATTAAAGCCAGGATCAGAGTCAGATGCAGTCACTTTCTCTCATTACATACCTGAGGACCTTTACTTCCCAGACCTCCTTTCTCGCCTTTCATACCAGTCTCTCCTCTGGGACCCTACATACAGAGCACACAGAGAATTAAAGCATTATTTTCTTTCTAAAAGAGAACACTTGAATATTAACTTGAATATTAAAGATGGACATGATAAGTCAGTCACATGGACATAAACTGGAAAGAGAACTCCATTCATGCCCTTGGCTCTGTCTTGATCTGTGAGTTGCCCTTCTGTGTGTGTATATAAGGGTCCAATTTGCAATTTAGGCAGTTGGGGGCATTTATAGTCGACTGAATAAATGCTGAACTGTTGAATTTTTCAGTATTGCTTTCTAATTATCCTAAGCATCTTTAGACTCCAAATGCATATATTTCTTATGTGATAAAGAAAATGATCCTTAATTACATAATCTGAAACTGAAATATTAAAATGAATTTTCTATTCAATAACCACACTGAAGACTTGTCATAAGATACAGCATGTGGTAAGATGAAATCTGGATATTTCTACTTCTAGAATATTATGTTGCCTATTAATTGTGGCCTCTGTATCTTAGGCAGAGAAACCTTCATGTTGTGTTTGGTTTTTCCATCTCCTTTTAAATTATGTCATGAAGAAAGTCTGTAAAGTGGAAGAAGGGATGTTGTCGTATTATTTGTTTAGCATGAAATAAAACCAGCCAATCCATTGAAATGCTTCCCCACAACCCCAGTGGCAAATATTTCTCACTTGAAGATAAGAAAAGTGAACCTTCCCCAGCTGGCAAGTAAAACAAAAAAAAAGCAGTCAAGCTCAAAAGAGATAGAGGTCCAAGGAGGCAGACTGTTTACTGTTCTGAAGTCTTGGTAAAAATGTGAACACAATTTCTTATCTGACATCTAAGGATATTTTGCCCAACTTCCATGCACCAAGCTGCCAATACATAATAGTTAATTTTTTCTTTAACTATGTGGATTAAAACTTTGAAAAATTATAGAAACTTTGCTTATCCTGCATGTGCCAAACAGCAAAATTATTTCTCAAGATTTCAAAACAAAGTTTGGAGAGAAAAAAATATGTTCTAAACTTTCTATAGTGTGACCTCCTTTCCTTCATCTTAGCATTTTCTAGGACTTCCTTTCCCTTCTCAGTATTATTCCAGGCTACGTTTTGCTCTTTCTGGCACACGCTTCTTTCCCTTCATGTGATCAGTGTAAGAGCCAACCATGGCTTATTCCTTGCAAAGGAAAATGTGCTGGAGGCAGCTCTCTGGGGAAGTGAGCAAGAAGGTAGGCTGAATGCCACACTATAGATCACCCCGCTGAAGACTTCAGCTGTATTTGGAACAATTCTTTCCTAGAGTAGAGCCAGTTTTTCTACCACACAGGCGTCCAGATATGGAACACTGAGTTCTTACTATACTACATTGACCAAAATTCATAGTTTTGAGGCTCAACATTTTCTTTGGCTTGAGGTCTCCCCTAGAATATCCTAGCTAGCTTCAACTCATTGCACGTCCCTGCATGTTCATTCCCTTTTCACCCCCTGATGAGACAAAACTTAGATAAAGGAGACCAAATTCTGGACAAGACTATGTTGCTTCCTTACTTTATTTCCTGAAAACACTTAACAAACATCTGTATTTCTGCAAAGAGGTTTGAGGGATTCCATCAAGACTCCAGATTCTTCTTTATGTTCTCAAACCCTGATTAGTTCTGATATGTACCTGAGGGCCCTTAAGTCCCCATGAGCCTTCAAGTCCATCTGGGCCTGGGATGCCTGTTTTCCCCTGTGGTGAGAGAATCAACCTGTTAGCATTGTTTCCTGAGAATTTTGTCTCCTTTATGTACAAGATTATATATTTTCAATCACAATGTCAGTGCAGGATCTTTGGCAAAAATATGAAAAATAAAGAAACAAAAATTTCTATAATCTCATCAAGCAGAGATAACCAGTTACTATGTTGGTATATTTGCTTTCAAATCTTTATACATGTGCACACTCACACACTCCTTTTTTTTTTTTTTTCCTGTAAGGTTTGTAATATATCTGACTTGGGCATTTGGCCTGAAAAAACTAACAGTTTACTTTATGTTTTCTTCAAAAATCTCCAGACATCTTACAACATTATATTTACATTCAAATAGATTAAATATCTATGGATCAAAAGTTGAGAGTATCTTCACATTTCCCTTGAACTCTGACAGAGATAAGAAGTCCAAAGAAGAGGAAGGATTAAAAGTTGTAATTTAGTCAACTATTGGGATAGCGTAAAGTTTATGCCCCAGTTGTTACACAGATGTGATTAAATGTCCCTTGCTAATTGCCTTTTCCTAGATCTCAGAGGAATTTCTCAACACTTTCTCTCCCCAATCTTATTTCATGATGTTATTCTGGATTTGCTCTCCTTTTTGTTGAAGTCTAAACTTGAAGTGTGTGTGAGTAATGTCTGTGGATGGTAAACTCTCTTAGTCTTGGTCTGAAAATGTCTACATATTCATCCGCAGTTTAGCTAGGTATAAAATTCTAAATTAACAGCTATTTTTCTTCTGCCCCTGCATATATCATTTTGTTTTCTGGCATGTTTTATTGCCAAATATAAGTCTGCTGCAATCTAATTTGTTATTCCTTTCAGGGGTAAAAATGCTTTCTCTCTCTGGTCATGTTTAAGATGTTTTATCTTTAGCATTCCAGAGTTTCACCATGATGTGATTGAGAGTGGATTTATTGTTTATCCTCATTGTATTTTCAACCCGAGGATGTGTGTTTCCTTGTTTCCTCAATTTCATAAATTCTAAGTCACAATTTCTTTTTCATAAAGATTATAGATACATGAGGCATGTATATCACCAACATGTACAAAGAAGATATGATACAATATTTGGAATAGTCTACTTTTGAATAAAACAGAAGTCCAATATGTATTAGGGTTTCACTGTACTCTCAGTTTAAAAAGGGTTTATGTAAATTGTAAGATTTCAGAGTTAATTGAACAAAAATCTACAATATCACTCAACTGAATTATTAGTTTGCACTTGAAACCCAAAGTTAAATTTAATAGTAATTGGGCCAACTAGTGTCTCTTGTCATTAATTTTTAGTCTTTGATTGGAATGCCCAAATCTTCATTTTAAGATTTGAGTTCTTGAAATTGTAGCCTAAAAGATTTCTAACATTTTATTCCACAACCAGTATCATCAAAAAGTGAAAGAACTTTAGTCTTGAAAGACGTTTCCCAGAGCCTTTATTCTTACTCCTTGATTGGACACAGAATACTTATCATTTGGAGTTAAGAAAAAAATAATTGTACCTGTGGACCTGTATGTCCTCTTCGGCCATGAGCTGCCTAAAATAGGAGGAAAGGTAGGTACTGTTAACTGAAAAAAATGCCTTTTATATCTAAATTAGTAATGAACACCTTAAGGCACTCACCATTTTTTTTTTTAAGTACCCACATATTGCTTAAAACATTTAATTATCCACTGCACCACGACAGTAAAATGTTGCCAGCTCTGAATTTCTTATCCTAGGGCAATAGGTAATTAAAATCACATAGACAACTGAAATCTGTACATACTTAAGGGAACAGATTGTGGTCAATAATTTGACCTCCATTAAACTATTACTAGAGCTGATCATAAGCTCCAAAATTGGCTGATTTGAATTTAATTTCTTTGCATTTTTGCAAAGTACTATCAAGTAAGCCAAAAATCAGGAGTGGAGTGGCCAAAAGGCAGGAAACCAGAGGAAAAATTGGGAGAACTGACTCCATTGAATTTTATTATAAATTTCAGAATCTAAATATAACCAGAATAATTTTACCCTCTTCCCCCCAAAAAGCCAAATAATAAGCTTATCTGTCAAAAATTAATGAATCAGCCCAAGCATTTGGAAGTTCTCAATTATGTGAATGAAATATTCAATCAAAATAGCAGCACTACAGAATCAAGTGAATTTTTCCTAATACTCTCATATGTAAGGTCAGGGTCTGGGTATATTTCAGATCAACATTTTGTAGATCTGGAAATCACACAAAGACATTTTATTGTCTAACTTAGGATGTCTCAGTGAAGTCATAGCAAGACTGACACCAGGATTTGCAAAAATCAGTATAATATCAGATGACATTTTCTTGATGGACATTTGAGATATTCAGATCAAAATTCTTTTTTTTTTTTTTAAAGATTTTATTTATTTATTTGAGAGAGAGAATGAGAGACAGAGAGCAT